AATACTAAATATAGTGTTTTTTAATGGGTGTTGCGATATTTTAACAATTTAAATTACTATCCGTCTTGAGTTGTTGCCATTAATTAATGTGGTCATTATTGCGTTAATTAATAATAATTTGTCTGTATTTTTGTTAAATGTTAATTGTATAAAATGGGCAAAAATATACGTACTTCATGTTTTCAATTTGATGGTTATAAAGTATTGAACAGTAAACTTATTATTTAAAATTCATAATGCCGGCTTGTGCTGTTATTGCTGTTATTTATTTTTGACGCATTAGCCATAACAACATTAAAACTTTCATATCTGATACTACTGACAACTGTATTGTTTGGTGTGTTCTTGTTCTTTTTTTTCATAACATTAGCAGGTTCTAATTGGTATGGAGTTGCCAACATTTCAAAAGTTTCGTTATCAAAAATCAAATGCAAAATGAAATTATTTTTTTTTATCCATATCCAATTTAGCAAGTTCAGCAGTTTAAACTTAATCAGCGTAATCAAAAAATTTTTATAATAAAAAATTTTAACAGTTTATCAAATATCTCTAATTAAATGAAAGCAGTTGTTTGTAATTACTTTTTTTCGACGGAAAAACAAAAAACTTTATAGCGTAAAAATGACCAGAGAAGTTAGAAAATAGTTTTGATTGTTTAATGTAAGATTTAGAATATATAATACTGCGCTCTCTTGCACAAAAACGAGAGACCGTATATATAATGTTCTATATAATGTAAAATACTCGTAAGAAAATCATAAGATTGGTAAGTAAAGCTTTAATATTTGTTTTAATTAAAAAACAAAAGAAATATAAGTAAGATATATAAATCGAAAAATTATTAAGATATCTGTAAAAAACAAGTTGCTCCTATAAAATAAAAATTTATCATTTTTTTTTTTTACAAATTTTTTTTTGCGATGTTTAGAAAAATAATACAAATAAATTTGTTTTGCTGTATGTTAAAAAAATACTAGAGTAGAAAAACATATCTTTAATATGAACACAACATGTGTTGGGAGTTTGGGATCCCTTTTAAACCTTTAGAAGAATTTACTTTCGGAAATTTTCCCACTTTTAAAGGAAGTCTTTAAGGACTAAAGAAAATATGTAAAAATATCTTTACTTTAAAGACTATAGGAAAGACAGTGTTCAAAAAGATTTTAGAGTAGAACTATTCAATTCAGTAGAACTATTTAATCTATGGGTAAATAATGTTTATCCAATATATGTCATTAGAATTAAAACAAAGATCAACAGTCAACAGATATTCTAGTAATAGTAAACAGACATCTGCATTCTGAAGAATTCTTTCGACAATAGATATGAAAGTTATGGTTCTAATTGGAAATTGCAGCAGCACAACAAAAAGAAAAATGAAATAGAGTGAGATTTGACTTAAAATTGACGAGAGGGCATATACATTTTTAAAAATATAAATGCCCAGGCCTTTTGAATTAAAGAAAAATAACTATCAACACTAAGATCACAAGATTAAACAGCTAAACTCAAATTAATTTCACAGAGAGCAGGTAGCTCTAGTATACTTTACAAAAAGATAAGACTCAACAAAAGAAAAGTTACTTCAAAGACCACAAATATTAGTGAAAGATAGATAATTGGTTAAAGAACTTGATCTGAAACACAGGCAGCGCTCAATTCAACGGTTGGACATCAGACATTATCAGGCTAAAACCTCAGATTGTCTAATGAATTTACAAAGTAATCAAACATTTTGACTGACGGGAATTAAATTCTAAAAAATAAAGCTTGGACAGGAATGGCATGCGATTGAACGCTATTGCTGACCACGCAAACAGTTTTTTTTTTTACAACTTGACCACAACTTCTTAGATGTTTTGATGATTTAAGTGTTACAGAAATGCGCTAAAAAAAGAAACGTTAAGCTAAACTTAAACTAGAAAAAAAAATTGAAAAAACTGAAAGAATAAGCAAAATAATTCCTTACAAAAAAGAAAACAAATTAACTAAATAAAACTATAAAAACTAAAAGTTAAAATTACTTTTTGTTACGCTTTTAATTGCATCAGAAAAAATTACCCTAAAACTTATCTTTTAAAATGCTTAATTAAAGTTACGCTAAACACTTTTACAAACTATTATTATTGATTGATGATAACTGATATATAAATGAACAAATTTAATTTAAATTATTGAAAGTGAAATTAAATAATTGAAAAGAAAAAAATATAATATTTTTAAGTTGTCTAAACATTTTTTTCAAAAAGTTGCAAAAAGTTATATATGTGCTGCTATATCAGGCATAAAGCAACAATCTCTTCTATCCTTATTCTTTGCTTTTTTTTTTTATCTTCTCTGAAAACACTATATGCTATAAAGTTAGGAAAAACTAGTAACGATTTGTTATCTATAAATGCTATAGTAGATATATATTAGGGTGGTTTAAAATTTATGATTTATTTAAAATGCTGATTACAAAACCCTAAATGTGTTTTATATAATAAAATAATACTGAAAAAAATTTCAAAAAAAAAATTTTTTAGGAGTAGCTAATATCTCTTAAACATCATTTTTACAAAAATATTTTTGTTGTAATTTCTTAATGTTTTTTATAACTATTTTTGAAATTTTTATAAAAACTCACTTCTTTTGAGATCCAACATAATATACTTTTGAAGAACTTTTTTTCTTGATAATATTAGGAGCCCATCTGATATTTAAGAGACTTTAGCTACCTCTAAAATTATAATTTTTTGAAGATTTTTTAACTCCAGTATTATTTTATTAAACATATTATTTTATTATTATTATTATT